CAGTAGATTCACTGTCCCTCCTCCTGCAGAGAATCGGTGTCATCAGAACAAGAATTTAGCTTCAAGTGTATCTATCTAGTTAAAGAAGTTGTGTGCTTTTTACATACAGCTCTTTCCCCTGGAAAAAATAAATGTAAAGCAAAAAGGAAAAAAAAATTGACCAACAAAATCCCTTGGATTCCTTTGAGATTTCTTTAATAGGGTTGCAACATTGCTTCTTTACAGATGAGGTTAAGTTTGTATGAATGCATTGCTGCTCCTGTTTAGGGCCATGGTAACATGTTACAAGTTTGAAAGGCTGTTCTGAGTGAGTGACTCATGAGTGCAGTGTTAAAGTTAACCTGCATCTGCGGGTGCATTGCAAGTGTTTGCTTTGGGAAAAATATCCAGCCACTACCTCATTTTGCTACAGGATTTGTATTGATACCCCAAACTAGTCTGAGCCCTATAAACTGCAGTAGATCAGAAAGTATTGGAGATAAAATTTTTAATTTGTAAACAGATAACCAAATCTACTTTTATTCTTCTTTATCATCCACATTACTCTCATCAAATTGCTTTGACATTTGGTACTTGATTGTCTTTTGGATTCAATTGAAAGTTGCCTTTGTTTTTCAGACTGGGATAGGTATGGGAAAAGTACTTGAGAACTAGTAAAAGCCTTTAGTGCTTTTAGAAGTAATCTTTAAAATAGTGTAATTGCCTCTGTTCTAATGACATGTAATGTGGTGGAGGAGGCGAACCTACCAAAGGAGGTATTTGCCTAGTACGTGTCCTTTTGAAATCAGCTCCTGCTGCATCTTACTTGCTCCTTCAAGAAGGAGGAGTGAGAACTGTAGCTGAGTTTGATGCTGGAGGTTGGAGTAGCAGACACAGGGAGATACTTTAGAGTCCAGACTGAAAACCTGTTGAGAGTCACTAGACTGTTCTCACTGAAGTGGAGAGCCTTGGTGCTGGGCCTAAGCAGTCACCTCTAGCCAGGGATACACCTCAGACAACTGGCATAATAAGCTGTGGGTTTACTTATTAATATGCTTTTAACATGCTAATAAGTTCTGAAAGCTTAGAAAAATGTTTACATTATAAATGTGAACTGAAGCACAAGAGAGACCCATGCTGAAAGTAACATGGAAATTCAGTGTGCTGTCCTTAATTTCACTGCACCTCCAGTGCTGGGTCCACTGCTAGGGAACAAATCTTGTTTGTGTGGGACCTGTGCTCCCCTACTCTAGAGAAAAAGGAGTTGTCAGGGGCTTTCTGGTGAGTCTTCTGGTGAAGCTAGAGCAACTGTGTCACTGCCAGAGGATCCTTAAATAACCTATGGCACTGAAGGGTTGATATATAATGAAAAAACCTCTGTCATGCACCTTCCTGGATTTGGCCTCTTAGGGGCTCAGAGGTAAAGGATCCTGCTGTTCATACCTGTGTTGTCTGGAGATTTGCAGCTCCAGGAGACTGTCTTAGGCCTCCAGGGGCTGGTGTTTGTCTTCACCAGGGGTTAATGGCAGCTGTGTTGGCTGTAAGGTAGCCCGGGGTACCAGGGTGTGCACTGCGATGCTCACCGCCCGCGACAGCCACAGCACACAGCGACACCTGATGTTCCTAGTGGGCAGGGGGAGGGGACAGCGTGAGGCCTACAGTTTACTAGGTGGTAGGTTCTGTATCAGAATGCGTTTATTGACAATTTATTTTGAAAATATACATTCCGAATTGTTCTCTGTATGTCTAATTCATCTGGGGAGGTAAGCTTGAAAGCTGCTTGCTTTACACTTTTGCTGTTTTATTTATCACCAACCATATTGCTACCAAGGTACTCACCTGTTCAGACAGTATTGGTATTCCTTTACTTGAATGCTGTCTGCAAATGTAAAAGGAAGAAAGGCACTTGGCTGAAAAAATGAATGCTTTCCAGTGAAGAAATGTGCTGGAGTGCCTTTTGCTATGAATACAGCCTGTGGTTTTGAGGGATACTCATAGCTGTTTGATGGAGGGGTTTGGTAAGAGCGTAAGAGAATAGATTATAAAACTGGAGCAGGCTAGGAAGTAGTCTCCAGATGAAAAAAACATGTTGTCTGCTTCTTTTATGTTTCTCCTGATAGAACAGAGCACTAGGGAATAAAAAATGCATGAGCAGTGAGAACTTTTTAATTGGAAAAATAAATAAATTAAAGCAACACAATCCAGATATGGGAATCCAAGACCTCTGAGTTCTTATAAGATATTCTGGCTGCTAACCTGAAGTTTTCAACTTACCTAAGCAAAGTCCTAAGACTTCAATTAAAATGTAATAAATGTAAATAAGGTTAAGGGACGTATTTAGGAGAGGGATTCAATGCTTTACTTACTGTAAAACACTGTTTCTGTCTCGAGAGGAGATGGTGTGGTGGTAGTGTTATGCAGCTAGGCAATTTACTCTCAACATTTGAATGCGATTTTGTGACCTAGATTGCTTCTTAGCTCTTTAAGCAGTAGCAGGAGCTGTCAGAGGGATGTTTACTTGGGTAGAGTGCTATAATTGTGCATTACGGATGCACCCAACTTCAGATCCGTGGTGCTATGGATTGGAAGTTAATTTTCACCTACCAGTTGTCCCTTTTTGTTTGACAGAAAGGCTATAAACTTTGTAGCATCAGAGATCTCCATCTAGCATGTCATGTCAGCTGCTGTCAGGCCTGTA